GAGGGAGACAGCCAAACCCTGACTAAAAAACTGACATCTGAACCGAAACCAGAGGGAGACAGCCAAACCCTGACTAAAAAACTGACATCTGAACCGAAACCAGAGGGAGACAGCCAAACCCTGACTAAAAAACTGACATCTGAACCGAAACCAGAGGGAGACAGCCGGACTAATAAATTGAAAACAATAAACAAAAAAATACTTCAGATCCCTGAAACAAGCAAGAGCAACCAGACTAAGCCCATTGTTAGTGACAAAGATGATTATGAAATATGCGAAACAAGATCCCCGAGCTGTAAGCATATAAGACGCACAGCAGTTGACATAAATAACGGCCTAACATCTAAAATCATTGAGGAAGACCACGCTAACATTGAAAGGATAAAAATCTTCTCCTTCCCACCAGAAGAAACCCCACTACTCACTACACAACACAAGCAAGATAATGATCTCCCATTAGCATGTGGCATCCATTTCATAGACATTGAAAACCAGAACACACCCTCCCTCCAGAGTACACCAGAGATTTCTCAATAGTAAAATATCCTTTAACAACTTTATCACATCACGAGATGCTGAAGGTCCAGCTACTAAAAAAACTAAGAGCCCTAGGAGTAGAAGGTAAAGAAGCAGAATGGTTTAAGTGCTATCTCAAAGGAAGAAAGCAACTGGTAGAAATAAATCACACCCGAAATAACATAAAATACAAAATCCAATCTCCAACAACTGGTGTATTAAGAGGGGTTCCACTAGGATCTGTACTGGGGCCAGTGCACTTCCTCCTCCTAACGAATGACATGCCAGACTGCATGGAAGTTGTAGTTCGAGCTACAATGGAATAGCAATGGAAGCAATGGAATAGTAGAGAGAAGTCACCAAACACTGATGTCATATCTAAGGTGTTTTGTCGATAAGGACCAGAGAAACTGGGATGATTGGTTACCCTACGCAATGATGGTGTATAGAAGCACACCTCATGGCACAACTAGATACTCGCCATACTACCTCCTTCATGGACGTGAGATGCGCCTTCCTACAGATTGGATTTGTGAAGAACTTCAACAAGATCTATCAGAAGAGGACTTTGTAAACGAGGTGAAGAGATGGCTACAAATAGCATACAGAGAGACAAGAGAAGCTATTGAAGAAAGAAAGGAATCGAGCAAAAAGTATTACGATAGGAATGCTCGGGAGAAAGAGTTTAAAGTAGGTGATTTAGTGTTTAGTGTTATGATGGTGTAGATATGCAAGCTAAGAGGGGTAGGAGTAGGAAACTGCAAATGCCATGGATAGGACCCTATAGAGTAATTAGGATTAATAATTATGTTAATGTTACGATTAAGAAAGGTAGATACGAATATGTTGTACATAAAAATAGGTTAAAACCATTTAGAGAAAGAAACTAAAAAGTAAGACAACTGTATCCTTGCAGGTAATTGGAATCATACTAATGCAAACAGAAGAAGGCGATCAAAAGAAATACAACATCGAAAAACTCGGCAATAACCCAGGGCTATATTTCTCAAAAAGATTTAGTTTCTTATTAGCGACTGAGTCATGGACAATCGCCGTAGATTATAACCTCCAGGAACTAAAGAACAAAATGAAAGAAGTATCGAGCATTTGGAACGAAGCACAGAAGCTACAGCATGAACTGAAGACCATCGGATCAGCGTGGTCCCATCACCAATTCCAGCAGACTCGGAACACACTGAAGAACACAGAATTAAAAGTTAAGAGACTCCATGAGATCATCGGTGCACAACCAACTCCGACGTCAAAAAGAAGAAGAAGAGGAATATTTAATGTAATTGGAACCGGCTTAAAAACTTTGTTTGGAACAATGGACAATGACGATGCTGAGTACCTTAATGAGAAAATTAGTACCATAGATAGTAATCAACATAGAGTGTATCAACTTGAAAAAGATCAATTAACAGTTGTAAAAAATACTGTATCGGACATAACTCACACATTTAGGGACTTTAGGGATAATCAGGAAACCATTATTAAAACTCAAAATTACTTAGAACAGTTACAGGAGTTATTCAGTAAGAAAATTGAAACAATTAGCGAACAATGGATTGTCATTTTAAGGTGTTAGGAGCGCTTCAAATTGTAGATTTAGTTTGTAAAGATCTTGATAATTTTGTTGATAGTTTGAACGTAGGCGTTACCTCTATGAGACATGGTAGTTTAAGTACACTGTTGTTAGCCCCAGACGATTTAATGAAGTATTTAAGAGATATCACTAGATTTTTAAAGAAAGGTTCCACCTTGCCTCTTGTTGTTACTGAAGACAGTATCGATGAGTATTACACACTAATTCGAGTTCAAGCATGGTTAGTGAATGGACACATACTTAGATTCTTTTTAAATGTGCCACTAAAACAAAGCAAAAGAGTTTTCACCATGTACGAAGTTTTGCCAGTGTCAGTGTCAACAAAAACTCAATAACAAAGGCGAGTCAATCAAAGTGTGTTTGGGACCAAATCTTGTCAACAACGTGGTAGCCGGACAGGAGACCTGTGAGTTAGCCTACTACAGGAACGTGGAGCCACCCAGGGACACGTGTGACGTAAGATTGGCATACATCCCAACTTCAATTTGGACTGAAGTGACCGACACCAACCAATGGATCTTTGTGCTACCGAGGGAAGAACTCCTGACCATCACCTGTCCAGGACGAGATGGACTGCTAGAGCACGAAGGTACCGAGTGGGTACAAGGAACTGAGCTCCTCACACTACCACCACGATGTCAAATGTTTGGATCATCATTTAGAATTTACAGTAGAGTAGTATCTAAGAGTAGGATAGACTATAATATAAGTAGCGTAATTAGGATACCTCAGAACAACACACGTATATCTAATGAAATCGTCAAAATTAGTAACGAAACATATGAGATTCTAGCTAAGAAATTGAAAAATATCACATCTCTCATAAAATTTGTACCAACATCTCTCAATGATCTAAACTCAGCAAGCATTAGGCTCAGAACACTAGAATAATTTTTGAAACAATATGAACCAGACAACTATGTAACTTTTGAAACACATTATTGGACAATTAGTGGAGTATGTCTTGTTGTCCTTGTAGAAATGTATTTAATTTATTGTTTAGGAATTCATAAAAGTTGTCGAAAAGCACATCAAAGATACTTACCTGTAATGTTTAAAGTTAGTAAACCAGAGGAACTTGATGTTGGTGAAGAATTAGATTCAATGCCATTGGAAGATAGAGTTAAGCTTTCCAGAAAGAGACAATCTAGAACTAAGAATGACGCACCATAAAGAATGATGCTCCATTCTATCATAAGGGGGGAAGTGTTGTATAGTAGCTTATAATTATTAATATTCAAATATACATATAAATATATATTATTGTTCAACAACTAAAAAGAAATTTCGTTAGTAGACCATGAGTAAGCCATTTAAACACCATTAATAGATGAGTTTGTTTTGCAATCAAGTTAACACTTTTTGAACAGAACTAGGTTACATCATTGTTGTCACAGTAGTTACCAATAGTTATCAATAACGAAACATCACGAATCTACCAGAAACTTCTAGGCTATGTGTCATCTTTGTAATTGTTCCATTAACCAAACCAGATAAAAACTTAGGAATTGAGGCACTGAGTATCAGTCACTGCTGACTGCCAGCACCAGGCCGTTTAGCATTCCGCGTTAGTTTGTGTCAAAGTTAGTAGTCAAAATTAATAAGTGTTTCTTTTTAAAAGTGTTTTTATTCAATTGTATTTTAAATTGTGAGTCGTAAGTTTTAAAGTGTTGAACAATAAACTCTTTTTACTCTTACGTCGTGTTTCTATCCTTGTGAGTTCCACTCACCATCCGAGGTGTCAGACCACAACTATGTAGTAGCTCCCAATCCTACGACAGCCAGCGACCACACACTCGGCCAGGTACACACCAAAGTCAAAGTTAAAGCTCCTCCCCATAAAGCCCCGTGTACACGTAGCTAGTTTACTAGCAGCTAATATTCGCTACCACACTAGCACGAAAATTCCCATCTACACGTGGCTAGTTATTAGCGCTTATTATTAGCCCTAGTCGTGTAGAAGTGAAGTGTTCATTGGTCGCAATAGCTATTTCAGTTTAGCACAAAATGTCTTCTGTTCCCTTAAATCGAAATGTTTTTAAACAAATTTTAAGAATTGGTGTACAAGAGTTGTGTGAACATGAATTTAATCCAAAGAGACGATCCGTGTGGGTTTGAAGGTGGATTAGAAGGCGAATACTTCTTGGTGCGTCCAATACTCTTTTAAGAGAACTGGCATTGGAAGACCCTACAGAGTACTTTAAGTTTAAGTACTTTAAGTAACAAACACTTCTACTTGTCAGACAAACAACAACTGATGCACTATCACTGGCGTATGGCGAGTGGCGATTAGCACTAGCAGAAGTGCAAATGCCCCGCTAGTATCTCGCTAATTTGCTAGCGCTAGTGGTCACGTGACCACCCCCTCCACTTATTAGCGCTAGTAATATCAAACATATTCAAAACGACTAGCAGCGAGTAAAATGCTAGCCTTAAAATGCTAGTAATTGTTTACGCTAGTAGACCGTTTACACGGAGCGAATTTACTAGCGCTAATCAACTAGCTGCTAGTACTAGCCTCGTGTACACGGGGTTCATGACCTCGTTATCCTGTGCATCTTCCATACAAGTTTTGTCAAATTCATCTGCTACCTGTCTAAATTCTAATCATGTAGTAAGAGTATCCAGCGCTTCCTGAATTTCTTGACCACCAAAACTCATCCTCCTTAACATAGTTTAGACAGTAAAACAATACTTCACTAATAAAGAATCCTCAACAATATGCACTAGAAACACCCAAGAGCCACAATGTGTAAGTATTAGAGTTGACCTGAAGAAAATTTGTGGCAATGACACACCTTTGTTGGGATTGGCTCTTTTGGATTCAACATATTTGATTTCTAATCTTACATATAAGAAAACAAAAATTATAACTTACAAAAGAAAGGACGCAGTAGTTATCAAGATGTGCTGCCCAACATCCAAGAACAGACAGAGCAGTGAGTATAAGACCAAGCATCATGAGAGAGAGAGCGATGTAGTAGAACAGAGGCTCAGTCAAAGAGGTGAGTATCAACCGAGAAGTGAGTATTCTCTCCGTGTCTTCTAGTAGCAACCCTCCAGAAAACACCAGGCCTAGTCCTCCTCCCTGCACAGACAACATGAGTTATTCATTAAGTTGATACAAAAGTTACTGAAGCCAGGAGTTGAGCATAAGTCATAAAGTGAGTATTACTGCGAATGGAGAGGCCTTCTTGATTGAGAAGAGTGGGCCCACCATATTTACTGGAAAAGAGGGCTATTCTTATTTAATTAAGTCACCATTCAAAATAGAAACCATGGATATCAAGCCAAAAGTCTGAGGCACAGGAACAGGGTCCTTTGCCTACTCCAGAGTGAGGATGCGAGACGGACAAATTCCGTTTACCATCTAGATGAGCAATGCCACACCAGCGAAACTTTGGTCAAAGTCCCCCACTCTCTTATATTGGACATCATTAATCACCACCAGTGTCCCATAGGTCCATTGTGCCGTCCCTACAATGACGAATGCTTGGGTGGGAGATTATTTCATTGCCAAGGGTCCCCAGCACTGGAAAGATGGACTCAGAAGAGAAAATTTCAGTTCAGCGGGATAAATAAATTCAGTGAATTTGGGGATGCTTATGTTCAGGATTGGGAGTGCTATCTAGTGGAAATGAAATTACCCATAAGCTTGAGAGGATATGAAGAACATGGAGTTGCTGCAGCCACTACTACTGTGTGACGGTCAGGCAGTTGATGACCGTAATTTTTAGTGTTATGATTGATAACAGCCCAAAGCCCAGGATTGGATATTGCCGGTAATATTGGCAATCGTGTCGCAACTCCGCTAGCCAGCATTGTCTTGCAATTTATTTGGGGTTTTGTTGAGTGTCACAAAGTATTGAGTACATCGATTGCTACATCACGTTCGGTTGTTTGGATCGTGGCATGGAATGCGTGGCCTGATTGTTTTGCTGACATGAGGTGTCATCATTCTGTGTGACGTGTGGGACCTCCGAACCTGGGGTAGTCAGTCAGAGTCGGGGGTCGGGGTTCGAGGAGTCGATGAGCCGCGGTTACGCCGAACTATCTTTCCCTCCCTCGCGGGTGTCCGTGGGGGTGGGCATGTCCGTTTCTAAATCACTTTTGCATAGGTTATATTTTCAATTGATAGTATTTACATTCATTGTAGTTTTTTCATTGCAAATAATTTTGTTCATTTAACATAATAAATTAAGTTTTTAATTCTACTCGGCATTCGATCTTTGAGTTACCCTTCCCGTGCGCGGTTGTTACAACTGCGAATGGAGAGACATTCTTGATTGTGTAACTACTAACTCAATTTCAATTAAAAATTTTATTTCTTTAATTTACCAGTTCTGAAACCCTGAAACATATTTCAATTCATATTTCTCAAGCTTCCTGAACTTTGTAGTTCAACCCATTATATCCTATTTTCAATACTCAATATCTGTAGCTGTCATTCAGTTCCTGTTTACTATATTTTTCCAATGATCAGACAGTCTGGGCTTATTCCCAAAAGTAAGTGCAAGCTACACATCCGTTTTCCTGTGACAGAGACAGAGAATATGCCAATAAACTTCTGGAAGTATCGACACGTGTGCAAATCACGTAGACTCACAAAAACCAATCAACTGAAAGAAGACCTGGATTGTATGACGTTTCACCACCCGATTGGCGGAGAGGTTCCGACATCTGTGAAGACCCTCTAGATTATCTGCAGAAGAAATGGACAGTCTTCTAGAATTCGGCTTAGCGTGAGTTAGTCTCCAGTCTGCAAAATCGTTAAAATGTTTCGTTGAAGTGTCGCATGCGGGTGTTGTGTATGTATGTGAAGTTTAGATTCCATGGCCCGTTGTCACTTTAGTGGCAGAAGTTAGGATGTGCAAACATCAAGTGAATTATGTATGTATCAATTTAAATCCATTTGTAACCATATTAATTATAATTCTAAATCTGCTTGCTCACTCACAAAATAATTAAAAGAATATGTTTTAAACATTTGATTCTCTCTCCCTAGAGAGAAATTCGTTGAGAATAAACTTGGTTTTATCATAGATAAAACATACTCCCTTAGTAGATTTCTCATCCTAATGGAACAGCTGAAGACAATTTTATTGTTAGTTCTGTACGGTTTATGTAGAGGTCGTGTTTTGTTTACAATTTGTTTCCCATTAATACAGTAATTTAAAACCACGTTTAACCAAATAATACGATGTAATCATAAACAATAAATTGTCCCCTAGTTATTTAACCAAACAGTAAAGCACAAATCAAGAAATTAACCCTAAAATAATAGAAACAAAATTTCGTCGACACTAGCGCCCAGTGTGGCGTACATGAACTGGACATGAAAAACGAGCTTCAAAATTTACAATGGGATGAGAAGTCTACTTGTGTTGGTTAGTCTATGGTTTTATTTTATTATTTTTTAAATTTAATTTCATATTTACAACATATACCGTACTTTATAATTCTAATTTCTACTTTTCATTTGTTATTTTATTTTTCAGTGCACTCTATCTCCCTAATCACCAGGACTTCAATCTTTTGATCTTGGGTTAAGTTCTTTCTTTTTAAATACCCCTTCTTTGCTGGTCTTTTGCAATTTATATTTTATTGTATTTACAAATTTTGTTAGTTCAATCTGAACTGTACTCAATCTTTCTGTAATTTGTTATTTTGCTCTTAATTTCTTTATTACATTCCTCTTGTAACAGAATGCCAGTGTTTAACTGTTCCTGTACCTCAAACTTATGTCAAGCGAGTTCAGTCAAATTAAATTAAATGCACAAATCAACAAATAAGCTTACAATTGAGAAGAGTGGGACACCATATTTACTGTAACTACCATACACTACCATACTGAAAAGGAAACCTACATCTTGAAGGAGCTAAGTAAAGTATATAAAGAATACAACATCAGCCCCCTAACAGAAGCCTACTGACTTGACCAATTCTACACAAATACAAATAAAAAATATGCTATCATAGACATACAGACAGGTAGCTTCCTTACACCAGAAAACCCCCTAAAGCAATACCACTTTGGATTTGATGGTGCACGTCTAGTGGAACTAAATAGAAATAATGACCACAAATATTCACTCTCCCCCAACAACATCTCGATAAACAGAAACATCCTAGTGTCAGATAACACACAACTTCTTAATGACTGAACACTTTATAATAGTATAAAACACATTGACATCACCCAGACCCCTGATATCATACCTAACCTAGTTCAAGGAGTTCCGGGATGTGGCAGGACTACATTCCTATTGGTCAGTTATAGACCTGGTGATCTAATTATATTCCCTACCAGGGACTCGGCCCTCGATTTTAGAAACAGGTTCATGGACACACACCCTAACACATGCACAGCTACCATCAACGATACTTTCAGAACACTGCATTCATTTTTAATAAACTCCACACAGCATATCCAGCAAGGCATTCATTATGACAGACTTATCATAGATGACTTATCACAAAATAAATCAAAAGCTCTGTGGTAGGTAATAAACAATGAAAGAAAAGCAGCAAGAAGCACAGAAAATCAGCTAATGCTCCAGATAAATGGAGAACAAATAAGTAGCCCTCATGAAGTAGCAAACCACTTCAACATTTTCTTTGCCACAGTAGCAGAAAGGACAGTCTAAGCCAACAACACAAACCCAAAAAGCATCCCCCAAGTCATACCACCCATAACAGACCACAACCTACAGTTTCACCCAGCAACACATGCAGAAGTAATGAAAGCTATAGACTCCTTAAAACCAAAAACTTCCTCAGGCATCGATGAAATATCAGCAAAAATTACAAAAGAATGTAAAGAAGCACTTACCGGCCCGCTCACAAACATAATCAAAAAGTCCCTGAACCAAGGAGTTTTCCCAACAAATTTAAAGATAGCTAAAATATATACAAAGTATAAAAAAGGACAAGAAACTGACACTGGAAGCTACAGACCAATCTCACTCATTCCCACATTCTCAAAAATAATAGGAAAAATTGTTCTTCATAGACTACTGACCCACCTTGAACACCACAGCCTTCTTACAAACCAACAGCAAGGATTTTTGGAAGAGAGATCAACAGCAACAGTGCTGATACATCTTATAGAACATATAATAGACAAGCTGGAAGAGGGCTGCATGGCCACTAGTCTATTTTTAGACTTTAGCAAAGCGTTTGACTGCCTAAACCATGCCCAGCTACTCCAAAAACTAAGAACCTTGGGCATAACAGGAAAAGAAGCAGATTGGTTTGAAAGCTATATAGAAGATAGAAAACAACTTGTGGAGATCAACTACGCCAATAACACCTGAAAAAACAGCACCAGTGGATCTTCCCCTCAACCCTACAATGTTATAAATAGTTTTAAGTTAACCATCAAAAATTTGTTGACGCATTACTATTCTCTATGAATTATGTAAATAAAGAAATATTGTCTATTGTCTTAGAGGACATAGCTAAGTGGAACAAGGGGGCTAGTTTTATCCAGGAAAAGTTAGGTTTACCTATTGAGAAGAAGATAAATAATTACGAGAACGAAAATAATTACAAAGTAATAGATGACTTCAGTTTTTCCGTTACTTCAGTTTTTCCGTTACTTCAGCTTTTAACTATAGTCCAGGATACAGGGGATGAGGTTTCCTGATATCATAGAGTCATGGGAGATAGGTAAATGATCTTCCATGTTGATGACCCTTGGATTACTTATATGACTATATTAAGGGTACAATACCTCGTCAAGTAATCCAAAACTTGACGATTACTTGGATTGGATTACTTGACGAGGTATTGTACCATTATTATGGTAATTGATCATTGTGCAATTCCTGCTCTGCCTACTGAAGAAACCCACAACCATGGCTTCTAGAATGCGGAATGTCTGGTTCTCACCAATACCAGCAACTATCATGATACTGGTCAAGCAAGATAAGAATAAGGCTGGCCTCAGCATCAATGTATATAGCGGCAGAGAAAACATTGGATTTTCCAATGGAAGCATAAGAGGGCAGTTTACCAAAGATGGCACCAACCTAGTGAGCCTGCTCAATTAGCAAGGAGACATCCAAGAAATGCTACATTGTATTT